AGGTGGTTGACCAACAAAATATTGTCAAATAATTATATTATAAAAATCCAATACTTCAGCGGGCTGCTGGATTCTGAACTCATAAAAATTGAATGCTACACATAAATCTACGATTTATGCTGTCAAACCAGTTATAGTCCAGGAAATGAAGCATTTCAGCTTGCAATTTTTTCGTGCTCCCTGGATTGACTTGAAATTTAACAGAAGATAGGTAATAGCCTAAGGATCAAAATCTATATCGAACCAAAGTGCGCCAAAGCCTAGGGGGTGGTTGCCACCCCATCTCCGGGGTGAAAATTTTTTTTACTTTTTAACTACAGGTTTCGATTAAAAAAGTGATTCTAAACAAAAAATGTGCTAAACATTTTTTTTATAAAATGATATTTTTCAAGTTATCCGCGATTGAAAGTAATAACTTTTAGACGAAAAATCCACGTTTTTAATCGATTTTTCGCAAATAATTCGAAAATGGTGCATTTTATCAAAAAAATTGTAGAGAACAAATTTGTAGCTTTTAAAAAGACAAATACAATTCATTTTTTAAAATGTTTTTGGGATATAATAGGAACCGAAATACGGCCTATCAATGTTTAGCGGTTTTCTTCAAATGCCAAATTTGAAAGATTCAAAATCAAATATCGGGAAAATGATGCATTTTTGGAAGAAAACTCACAAAACCTTTTTTAAAGAGCATAAATAGACCTATCATGAAAACGACTCTAGCTCAAAAATTGAGTGAGTTATGATGAAAATAAGGTCAATACCTCATTTTTTACGAAAAAATCGAAACAACACCCTAACCTCCTCCATAATTAAAATCGATCTTTACCCTTCTGAAATTCCCTTTGTACATGTATTGTTAATACGTCCAAGAAGTTTGACCTATTTAAAATGCTTTGTGTTAGAAAAAGTACAGCTTAAAGCGAGAAACGATTTACAATTTCATATTTTTTACCCTTCTTTTTTTAAATATGCCCGAAAATACTGAATATATGAAAAAAATACAAATTACCAAATTGTAGCTTTTTTAATGACCAAAATTATCCTTTTAGATTTGTTGTACAATGAATATTTGGCGAGATATAGCCGTTTAAAGCATCGATTTACGATCAAACACCATCTTTTTCGAGCCCTTTAAACTCACCCCATTTAAAAACCAAGGGTTCTAAAAATATTTAATTCACAGATCCTTGTAGCTCTTAAAAACGACAAACCGTTTTTGAAGAAACACTCTATCGTTAAAAATTAAAAGAAATACGTTAAAAAAACCAGTGAATTTTTTTCCGGAAAATTCTATTAGTATAGTACAGTACATTTCGGAGCATAATAATCTACAAAACCGGTATATTAGCTAGTGGGGCGTTATACATTCGAAATTTTAAGCGTTCTTATTTTGAAATCCCATACAACAGAATAAAACATCTGCTCATATGTCTATGGCTTGGCAATGAAAATATTAGAGCAACAGATTGGGTATGGTATTCCAAAGATGGTTTGTTATTACCCGTACGCATGAACAAACAACCTGCACTCGATGAACTTTTGAAAATTATTTTTTGGCAATGCAAAAAAGGATGCGGTGTTTCATGTGGGTGCAGAAAAGTTGGTTTATACTGTAACTCTACTTGTTCTGGGTGCTCAGGTGAAGGGTGCAATAATAGTCCACCAATAATTGAAGATGAGGATGACATAGATCACGATGAAGATGTAATTGATGACGAATAAAATTAATATAATAATTGTTTTACCTATAAATGTTAATATTTTCTACTATTTATGTAAATGTATGAGAATATATGGTGCCTTTTTATGTTGATAAATTTTTTTGTATTTAATTCTACTTTTTTCAATTTATATCTTATAAATTAGTTTATAAAAACTGCAATGTTGTAAAGGATGATTTTCAAAAGTTGAAAAGTTGCAAAAATATTTAACTAATCCAAACCAAATTTTACTCATCTTAAGATTTATAATATTATTTTACAATTTTTGAAAATTAGGGGTAGTTTTCATCCCTAAGAACAATCAGGGTTCATCGGCATGACATAAACTATAAAGCAGAGGGTGAGTTGAGCTTAAGTCCAAATTTTTATGCAAATCGTTCCAAGGTGAAATAATTTTCTTCGCATTACCAATTTTTTTATATTAATCTCTAATAAGGGTCGCTTTTTAAGGGTTGAAATATGATGGAACTTTATTCAAAAGCACGAAACTATCATTATCTAATTAATTCAAACCAAATTTTACCCATATTCAGGTTTAATATGTTATTTTATAATTTTTGACAATTACGGGTAGTTTTCACCCCTTAGAACAATCAGGGTTCGTCGACATGACATAAACTATAAAGCAGCGGGTGAATTAAGCTTAAATCCAAATTTTTATCCAAATCGATCCAAGGCGAAATCATTTTTTTAGAATTAGTAATTTTTTTACATTAACCTCTAACAAGGGTTGCTTTTTAAGGGTTGAAATATGATGGAACTCTATTCAAAAGTATAAAATAGTCATTATTTAACTAATTCAAACCAAATCTTACCCAAATTCAGGTTTAATATGTTTAGTTTTCACCCCTAAAACCCATCAGCGCACTTCGGTTCGATATAGATTTTGATCCTTGGGCTATCACCTACCTTCTGTTAATATTTCAACTGGATACATGCAGGACGAAAAAATTGCGAGATTTTAACTTTTTTCGAGATTAATTTCCTGAACTATTATCGTTTCCTTAGACAAACCCGTCATACGCAAACAACATTGTTGTGAGACAGATAGTTGAATGATATTTTATACAATGTCTATACCCAGGTATGGATTTATTTTTATCCAAGTTTTATATTGGTCCACTATTTCAAATGCAATTCAAACAGACATGTATTAAATTGTATGTTCCGTTTTAATTTGGTTCAATCTGTATATATATATATATATATATATATATATATATATATATATATATATATATATATATATATATATATATATATATGCTGCGTTAGACTTTTTGTTTTCTGTACACCGAGCTGGGGCTCGATCCCACATCCACTGAACCATTCGACAGTGAAGCGAATGAGAGGCAGCCGCACAGCCCGCTGAGCTATCTGACCGACCTGTTATTAAAAGAACATATTATTATTAGAAAAATATGGTTCCATCCACATATATTATTGAAAAATGATTGATGTTATCTAAAAACTGTTATCGACAAAAAAATATATACTGCCTCGGCGACACCTGTGAAGATTGTATTAACATCAAATTCAGGCTTTGTCATTATAATATTACATTTTTGTTGATGGTTAAAAATTAAAAGATCTGCTAATATTTAATATCTTAGTAGGTAGATGGTCAATCAGCATGATTAAATTATGTTTAAGTTTATTTGGTGTTTAATTTATTTAGTTTTTAGTTTAATTAGTAATCTTGTAACCGTTTCAAAACTTTTAGAAAATTCATTATAAATTCGATTAATTTTTTAAATAAAATTGCTAACCCCCTCTATCTGCCGAGTACTTGTATTTGATTCAAGGATTCTACTGTAATTCTAAACATATCCGGTAGATGAGAACGTTCATTAACTTGTCACTCGCCTCGATTCACAGCGGTTAGGAATAGCGTCTTCCTCTTTTCCTCTTTAAACGTCAAACCGTTAAGACGTGTTTCGTGAAGTGGGTCTCTATAGAGATAAGCCGAAAAAATCCTTTTCTTGTCTTGAAAAAAAAAAAATAGAAGAATGGACTCAGCCAACTAGAAGAAAACGAGGTAGACCAAGACGATCCTGGAGAGACGATGTCGACGATGCAATGACCGCCAGAGATCTAACAACTGAAGATTGCTTCGACAGAAAACGCTGGAAATTAGGATGCGAGAAGCGGCGCCAGCTGTAGAAGACTCGCTTGTTATATATTTATATATAAATGGAGTCGTAAAAATGGTTTCATTTGGTTAACTGATTAAATAGTAAAAAAAAACAATTTCTTCATGGTTACCAGCTATTGGATAATTCAGGTTGTACCAATTTTTATTAAATTTTTTCATTTATCAAGAAAGCGGGGAATATTTATGAACTTAAAAAAAGAAAATATAGTGAGTGCTTTATTTTTATTTAAAAGTATAATTTCTTTATTATTCCTAGTTAATAAATAACTATATTATTTTGAATGTAAACAAATTTCGAAATTTGGGGATAATACAATATTTCATTTCTTAACTATTCTTAATTTAATACGATATAAAACTTTTGTTTGTCTATACGATTTTAAAATTAGTTTTGTATAAACACTCCTCATGGTAATGTAAACATAAAATGGTATTTTGATATCCTTTTGGAGTGACGTGACTTTTATTGTTTTTTTGTTCATTACTAAGAGATAATAAAGTATAGTTTTGTTGCAAACTTCCTATAAATCTTATTTTCTTTCTTTCCTCGTCCCCTTCGATGGTTCGATGCTTCGAGGTTAAACCAGGGGTGGCGTCCAATAATAAATTATAATTTAATATTATCTAATTGTGCTTGGATTTAAGATATATGACAATGAGCGATTCTGGCCATTTAATTTGTATGCCAAATGCTTATTAAGAATGTACGCTACAATCTTAATTAGTATATAGCATAGTATATTAATAACCTGAATGATTACTAGGTATATTTAAAATGTCAAATAATAAAATACCTTTGATTGTGTGAATAAAATTATACAGGGTGTGTTAAAAAGGGGGGATGGTCGAATATTTTGTGAAATAAACATCTGATCGAAAAACTGAAAAAAAGTGTTTTATTTAAAAAATATTTTTCAAAAATATATCGGTTGACACCAAACATGACCCTTCAACCACTCCCCCTAGAGCGGGAGGGAGCAACTTTGAAATCTTAAATGTGAATCCTCATTTTTTATAGCAGATTTGGATTCCTCACAAAAAATGAAGTGGTATTGGTCAAAGAGAAGCTTTTTATTATCTACATTTGTCAGCTTTTTCGCCGCAAGCAAGAAGTAAAAAAGTTAACAGATCACATTATATTACTGGATACATTTTAGAAAAGCTATAATATAATTTCATACTAAAATACAATTTTATTATACAAAATTTTATCGGTTAATTCTTGACCCCTTGGATTTTAGTACTTTAACCGAAGAATCTGCTGGGTACTGAATTTTGGTAATGTTGATTTTAAAGTCTGTTAAAACATCCTTCATGGCGTTTTGGGGAAGGGTAGGTTGAAAAAAGCCTGGTTTCCGATAAAATGAAGAAGTAGATAAAGGAAATTTTGTCTTTTTCTTACTCATCAGTCTCGATTCCCTTGCTGCTATAATTTCTTCCCGGTCCTTTAACTTTTGTCTAATATTTTTTGTCTATAAAAAAATCATATAATTTATATAACTTGTATGGTATCACTGAAAACACTCAAAAACATTTTAACAGAAATTAATATTTTTGTTAATTAGAAGTAAACAAGAATCACGTCGCTAAAATGGAATTGGGCAGGACACGACACCATGTTCTCAGACAACCGATGAATAGAAGTACTACGGTGCAGAGGCCGCTTACCAAGAATGACCACTGTAAAATACCAAAAACATGTACCACGCTTTTGGTATCTTGCAGTGGTCGTTCTAGCATGCAAGCTTACCACAAAAGTCCTAACCAACAAACCTAACCTAACCTAACTCAATAAACTAACAACTTTATCACATAAACAAAAAGGATTCAGATCCGGAAGATCCTGTGTAGATGCCGTATTTGTATTAGGACAAATCACAGAAAAGGCCATCGAGTACAATAAACCAGCATATCTAAGTTTTGTAGGCCTGATAAAGACTTTCGAAGACATCTTACACCTATTGTATAAAAGAAACATACCAATCAATATTATACAAACCATCGAACACATCTACTTCCATAATCGAATATAGGCAAAGCTAAATATAGTGTACACAAGTACAAAGCGGAGTCAGACAGAATGACTCGTTAAGCCCACTTCTCTTTAATAAAATAATTGAAGAAATAATACAAGCAGTACGTAAAGATGCAAAGATGCAGGGATGTTAACTGTGGTGTGTATATTTGTTTTATGGACTACAAAAAGGCATTTGATACAGTAAAGCATGATAAACTTATAAACATCTTGAAAGAAGTGGGTTTAGATGATAGGGACTTGAGAATCATCTATAATTTATATTACAACCAAACAGCCAATATTAAAGTGGATGAACAATTGACAGAGGCAGTCTCCATAGATAGAGGAGTGAGGCAAGGATGCATTCTGTCCCCGGTGTTATTTAATATATACTCTGAATATATCTTCGAGCAAGCGCTGGGAGAACTACAAGAAGGCGTATTAGTCAACGGAATGCGTCTAAAAAACATTAGATATGCCGACGACGCAGTAGTTTTGCAGATAGTCTGGACGGTTTGCAAAGAATAATGTCGCATATATCAGATATATATAAAGAGGAGAACAGTTCAAAAGATCCGTGTGTATCAAAGGGCGATGGAGCGTGATATGTTGGGCGTTTCACTACGAGTCAAGATCCCAAATCGCCAGCTACGACAAAGAACAGGAGTGGCTGATGCAGTAGAGAGAGTAGCAACACTGAAATGGAACTGGGCAGTTAACGTGGCTCGAATTACAGATAATAGATGGACAAAGCGGATACTGGAATGGAGACCAAGAGATGATGCCTATCGAAGCAGAGCTCGTCCACCAACACGTTGAACTGACGATCTAAAACGTTGTCATAGGAATTGGATGCAAGAGGCACAAGATCGAAATAGATGGAAAATTATGAGGGAGATCTATGTCCAGCAGTGCATAAGCGAAGATTGAATAATGATATCAGATATAAGTAGAGAACACGGACTTGATCTTAATACGAAGAAAACAAAGTACATGGTAGTCAGTAAGCGCGAAATATTAAATACACAGCTACTGGTTAACCAACATCCAATTAACAGAGTGGACAGCTACACATACCTTGGTACCAACATTAACAGCCAATAGAATCACTTCAGTGAAATAAAATAACGCATAGGAAAACCAGACAGAAAAACATGAATTCGGCACAGGTTTCGTGGTCCGAGAAGAATACTTAAACAATGTTATAAGTTTTACGCCCATCAGTGAGACTGTGTTATATTAGACTGAAAGGAAAATTGTACAATATCTCAATTATATCCGCACATGCGCCGACAGAAGATAAAGAAGAAACAATCAAAGATGACTTCTATGAGCAACTCGAAAGAACGCTGGAGAGAATTCCCAAACAAGACATGCAAATAATCTGCGGAGACTTCAACGCAAAAATTGGCAAAGAACTTAACCCAAGACCGACAATAGGACAACACAGTCTCCACGATATCTCAAACGATAATGGACAAAGGCTCGTAGAGCTAGCATCGGCTAACAATATGCTTGTAAAGTCTACTATGTTCCAACATAAAATTATTCATAAACAGACTTGGGTCTCTAATGACAACTCCACACGGAACCAAATTGACCACATAATTGTTGATGCTAGACACGGAAGTAATGTCCTTGACGTAAGAAGCCTCAGGGGCATAGATGGAGATAGAGACCTTTACCTAGTAAGAGCAAAAATCAGGTTGAGGATATCATCACAGAAACTTAAAACGAACGAAGCATTGGGACAGTGGACCATTGAGAAAACGCAAAATAAGGAAATCCGAGACAATTACGTACAGGAAATGGAACAACATCTAAATAGAATAGACCAGAGCAATGATGTCGAAAGGCTGTGGCAACAAATGGAAAAATCAATTACAGAGTCAGCAGAACTAATAATAGGAAAAAGAAGGACGAAAACAAGGAAATGGTTTGATAAAGAATGCCAAGAAAAACTACAAGACAGACAGAAAAAGCGAAACATTATGCTTCAACAAGAAACAACAGAAAGTAAAGAAAACTATACAACATCACGACGAGAAACAAGAAAACTAATTAGAGAGAAAAAAAAAGAAAATACGAACAACAGCAGTATGAAGAAATGGAAAGAAATAGACAACAGTCAAATAGTCGAGCATTTTACAAATCTGTGTCAAACGAAAAGAGAGGATTCAGACCTAACTGCGTGTCTGTACTGAGGAAAAATAATGATGAATTAATAATCAACGAACAAGAATTACTCCAAACATGGCAAGAATATTTCAAAAATTTACTTAATATACACCAAGATGAAGAACATGGAGAGGATATATACCTTGGGGTGGACCTACCGGTAGAGTACCCAAAAATAGACGAAACATTGCAAGCAATTAACAAATTGAAGAACGCAAAAGCTCCAGGCTCTGACAATATACCAGCCGAATTTCTTAATTACGGAGGAGAAACTTTACATAGACAATTACACAAACTAATAACACTTATATGGAACGAAGAGAAAATACCAACAAAATGGCACGAAAGTGTAATAATTCCTATCCATAAAAAGGGAGACAAAACCAAGTGCTCTAACTATAGAGGCATCTCCCTACTTAATACGGCGTACAAAATCTTATCGAACATCCTATTAAGTAGACTAACACCTTTTGTAGAAAATTTCATAGGGGAATACCAAGCCAGATTCAGAAAAAATAGATCGACCATAGATCACATTTTTACTCTCAGGCAGCTGCTTGAAAAAGGATAGAAATTAAATAGAACCATTCATAATCTCTTCATAGATTTCCGACAAGCATACGACAGCATTAAAAGGGATCAGATGTGAAATGCAATGGCAGAACTTTCAGTTCCAAAAAAACTTATCCAGCTCGTTAAAGTTTGTGTAAATGGCTGTAGATCTAGAGTGCGGATAGGTAACAAGCTCTCACAGTCGTTTGAAATAAACAGTGGACTGAAACAAGGAGACGCGCTGTCATCTCATCTTTTTAATATAATCCTGTAAAAAGTAGTAAGAACCGCACAAATTAGAACAGAACTACTGACAGTAAATGGACCAAAATTACTACTAGCATACGCGGATGACATTGACATTGTAGGAAATACCGTCACCAATGTAAAAGAAACCTTCAATAAATTAGAGAGAAAGGCAAAAAATACCGGTCTAAGGGTCAATGAAGAGGAAACCAAATATATGTGCATTAACAGACGAGACAGAATAGGACAAAATGTAACAATAGACCCCTATAACTTTGAAAGAGTGGAGAGTTTTAAATATCTCGGAGCGACTATCACCACAGATAACGATATCACGGAAGAGATAAAAGGGAAAATTCAGGCAGCAACCAGATGTATGTATAGCCTCCACAACACTATTAAATCCAAGAACCTAATACGAACATCAAAAATCAGGATATATAAAACAGTAATTAGACCGGTGCTCATGTATGGGTGTGAGACGTGGACGCTGACAAAAGCAATGGAAAGTAAACTCAGATGCTTTGAGAGAAAAATCCTCAGAAAGATCTTCGATCCCTATCACCATATGAATACTAACCAATACCGAATGAGAACAAATGCTGAGGTCAAACAAATGTATAGTGCTAGCGACGTAGTCCAAGAGATTAAATCCCAACGTCTAAGATGGGCCAGCCATGTTCATAGGCTCCCTAATAACCGCTTTACCAAGTTAATCTGGGAATAAGTCCCGACAGGGAGAAGGCCCTTAGGACGTCCACGAATGCGATGGAGAGATAATATATGGTCAGATTTGAGAACAATGGGGCTACCCACTGACTTAAACATCATGGACGACCGTTCGAGATGGAAGCAGGTTGTGCAGTTAGCCAAGACCCACCTCGGGTTGTAGTGCTACCAGAAGAAGAAGAAGAATAGGAAAAGCGAGATCAGCGTTCATAAAGATGAAGTATCTTTTCAGAAGTCACGATTTACCACTTGCTACCAAAATCTCTCTCATTAGATGCTATGTATTTTCTACGTTATTATAGTAGAGTAGAGGCCTTGACACTTTCCAAAGCTTCTTTAAGAAAACTCGAGGCATTCGGGATGTGGTGTTACAGACGTATTTTAAGAATTTCATGGGTGGATCGTGTGACTAATGTTGAGGCCCTACGTAGAATAGGCAAGGGGAATGCGAGATTATTATCATCAAAGAGCGCAAACTAGAATATCTTTGCCATGTTATGAGGAATGAACAGAGATACAGCTTGTTGCAACTCATTCTTCAGGGCAAGGTATTTGAAAAGAGAGGACCAGGGTGAAGAAGAATATCTTGGCTTCAAAACCTGAGAAAGTGGTTTAATACATCGACAACCGGACTATTCAGAATAGCAGCAAGCAAAGTTGGGATAGCCATGTTGATCGTTAACATCCGGAACGGATAGGCACCGTAAGAAGAAGAAGTACGTAAAGGTCATGGTTACAGAATGGGGAACAAAGAAATTCAAATATTATGTTATGCAGACGACGCCGCATTAATCGCCGAGACAGAAGACGAGCTCCAAAGATTAACACACATCTTCAATATAACAGCCAATAAATACAATATGATAGCAGATAGATAATATCAGCAGAAAAAAAAAACAAATGTATGGCAACATCTAAATACCCCCTACGATGTGTTGAAGAACAAGTACAACAAAGCTTAAAAGCAAGTAAAGCGGCGGGATCTCTTAATGACACAATCTGGAAGAATAAACACCCAAAACAAGACACAAAAACAAGAATCTAAAGCAGCAATTAGACCTATATGTATTGGCAGACCAAGACAAATATGGTGCGATAGTTTAAACAATTTAGGATGCTAATATTGAAGAAGAAGCAGGCTTTAAAGATTATATACAAGAAGAAAGAAGAAGAAGAATACATGCAAGAAGTATATTATTTTAAAAATTTAATTTTTAATTCTTTTGACAATTTTATTGATCCTAAACTACTACGTTTGGCTGTGAACATGGTGAGACTTAAAAAATATCGATGAAGAACGAAAGTAATTAGAGGGAGACACGATAAAATGAGGGGGAGTCAGAAAAAATGGTAGAAAGTCAGGAAACATTGAGTTACGTGATATATACTCACATTCGCACCTGTGTTCTATATAGTATGAGCAATACATATTATGTAATGGACCGATGTAGGTTATGACATCATGGACTCAATGACTAGTTTTGATGGCTACAAAGATAATTAGCCTGGTATTGTTTGTTTTGTAAATGCTATGAAACTGTTACCATAGGGAGAGGCTGTGTGATGTACAAGATTGCTAAGCACAACAACTTGGACTATAAATACCGAAGTACTCTTAGAACTTAATACCAGACATATAATAAAAAGAAAAAAGGGATAAAAGATAAAAAGATACGTGCAAGTTAACGTTGGCAAGCCAGTAAGACCTACAATGCGTTGTATCATATAAAATAACATTCAAAATAAGCATCTGAATTAAAAAAAAAACATTTCCCACTTGGATTATTTTCCCCATAAAACTGAAAAAGTAAAAGAAAATTTAACCTGATTCATGCTCAATCTGTATCCTTCCCTCAAATATTTTAATTCTTTCTTCAGCTCCTCGAATTCTTGCTGGGACTCTTTCATATCTGCCACCAAATGGGGATGTGGCAACAAACCAGACTCTTCCTCCAATTTCGTTCTTAACTGTCTATATCGGTCTCTTTCATGTTTTGTGTCGTTGAGGCTACCCCGTATTACCTCTTTATTTCTTTCCAAGAAGGAATTTTCTTCGATGGCGTCTTGAATATCCGAACGAAATGCGCCGATTTTTTCCCGGATATGAGCTAAAATCTGAATAGTTTCTTCAGACTTCTTTCTGTACTTCATCAACTCTACTTCCTGCTCTTCAATTTTATCCGCACGCAATCGATTTTCTGCTTTTAGTTTTACAAAGTGGGATAAGTAATGGCCTTCATCTACTTTGTCCACAGCTTTTATAGCGTTTTCTTTTTCACTCACCATCTTCGTTAAGCGAATCCATTTTACCACCAATTTGTACTTTTCTTCCATATCTTTCTTCTGGCGACTGAGCTGGTGGTCAACATACCTACGAAAAATGGATTTTGGGTGTGGATATAATATGGAGAAAGAAGATCAGCCTTTTGGAGATAGGCCAGCGAACACACTACATCCTATAATATAACCTACCCATCTGGCATTTCTTTTCCTGTTTTCGTATTAATCAAACCATGTCCAATTTCTTTTTCTCGCGCCTGAAGTTCGGAAAACATCTGATGCAGATGAACGCTTTTTTCCTTTTTCGTTTGTCTAAGTCGGCTAAGTTCATTAATAATATTTTCTCGTTGTCTCGTAGCATTCGTGCAAACATAATCTAAATTGTCTAAAACACGCTTGTACCTTTTAATCGCCAAGTCTGGAAGGTCCTCCGGCACGAAAACGTAAGGCATCTTTCTTCGTCTATAAATAATATTTGATAAATCATTAAATGTCTAGTGATCATCAAATGAAGATTTTATTTAAATAAAACAGTAAATTACTGTTTTAGTAATGTATATTTCTATTTAATTTAATATTGGATAAAAGGAAAATAAGAATGAAGCTTCTTTTTTGCAGAATGAATCTTGAAAATACATTGGATATCAAGAATTTCGAATAAAGAAGTTCTACAACGATTAAACAAAGGGATACTTTATCAACGGATAAAAAATGGAGCAAACTTATATACCTGGCACATTTGTTAAAGACACGAAAAATACTACATAAAGTGTGCAGCCATGTTAAGGTTTCATTGTCAGTTCAACCCAAAATAATTCAGACTCTCATTCGTCACAATGACGGTCACCTCACTGACCTCGTACTATCATATCTCATCTTAGTTTTTGAGCCTTATTAACAAAACTGCTTCTGTTTTGCGGGGCACCCCAGTCCCTTTTTATACATTAATAGTGCAATCTGCTCAATCAATGTATCTGCCCTCTTTTTCCATTCTTCTTTCGATTTATCGACAGCCACGTCTGCTAGATCATCGTTGTAGCCCACCAGAACTCCATTTTTTGCATCACAAAAATAGCTTCTAAGTATTGCCTTTTTGCAGTATCAAATTTTTTACTACTAGCATATGTGTCGTTCCTCGAACTTCCTCTAATTACAGCAATCTGTCGGTGAACCTTTTTTATATATGGAAATAAACGTAAGTTTACCCTAGTCATTTGGCCACTTTCTGGCTATTCCAGACCTCATTGCAAATTCTAATCATTACTTCCGTGCCTAATTCTCCCATTTCTTTGAGTGTTTCAGCTGTTGATCCATCTTCTCCTTCTGCTTTTCTAAATTTTAGCTTTTTAATTGTCGCCTCAATTTCCGATTTCAATATTTGAGGACCTTTTTCATAACTTCTTTTCTCTGTATTATTTTCTAGGTCGTTGTTAGAGAATAGTATTTCGCAATATTGTTTCAATACCTCTGCGATACCGTCTGGGTTTGTTATGGTATTTCCACTGTTATATTTTATGATCTATGTCTACAATTTGAATTCTATCGCTAGATAATTGACTTTTGAGAAAAGTTCTCTAGATTCTTAGCAGTCAGCATATTCCTCAACTATAAAACAAGTGTTTTATAATTGTATTTATGGTGCATATCTCTATTTCTTTTTGTTTTGAATTTGTTGTGTCGTTTCTAAGTTTTCGTGTTTCTTCTACAAGATTGAGAGCCTCTTCAGTCATCCAATGTTTTTTCCTAGCTGTTTAGTCTTTGGGATTAGTATTGTTGATGGCTTCAGTGATCCATTTCTTTGTGTATTCCCACGTTTTGTCAGGGTCTCCGGTAGTCACTGGTAGGTCAGCTTCTGCTAATGCTTCTGTAAACTTTTCCGTGTGTGTTGGAATCAATTTTTGTCTCTCATTTGTGATTGTTTTACTGTGTAACTAAATGCGAAATTCTGCTGAAACATTTTGTGGTCAGAACCACAGTCTGCAGCTGATGATGTAGCAAAATCTCAGCGGATGATGTTTAAACATTGAGTTTACTAGACTAAGATCCATATCGATGGTAAATTAAAGGAGCCGTTAACCTCTTTCATTTCGCCCGCCTAAAACATGCTCACCTATCGTTCCTTTCAAATGGTCATCTATTTTAGTTTTTCCTATTTTTGCATTCCAATCTCCTATTATCATCATTGGTTCTTTTTGGGAATGTTAGAGATGGTTTCGTGTATCAGGTGGTATGTTTCTTCTACTGTATCTTCTGACACTTCGGATGTTGGCATATATGCCTGTATAATATGTATCTTGGCTGGTGTAGCGTTTAGAGTTATTTTGATTATTCGATCATTTTATTGCTACGCCTTTTTGTCCTGACCATGTTGCACTAATTTTATAATATCTGGAATTTTAGTTATTGGAAAAGTTTAGTAAACGCCATTTTCTTTGTTTTTTTTTCAAGGAACAAATTTAAATTGAAAAAAAAAATCCTAGCTCTTTTAGTTTATGAGTTAGAGCCCTATAAACAATTAAATTGTTTATAACAATTTTTTGATCACTCGAAATCCACCCCCGAAATTCGTAATCAGCAGCCAAAATACATAAAAAACTTGGGGACTCATAAGAATTTAAAAAGCTACGGTGACCTAACTGGATCTTAGTCTAATTGTCTTCAGAAACGTCCCAGGAGAAAAAACAAGGGGACGATCACCAACATGGACAGACATCTTGCATTGGCATCCAACGTTTTTGATGGGTCATTCAAAGGTTACAAACCGGTCGTTTATTCTGGACCAATCGAAGCCTCTATTTGTCTGTATTAGGGAAAATCACGATCCTCAATAATACGGAAATTACAAGAGAGATATAAACTGTAACGAATACTTTTAACCCTTCATTTCTACCCATCAAAAATTGACATATTTTGCTACCCGGGGTACCCCAAATTTAAAACATGTGTTTACAAAAAGTCAAATATATTTAGAAAAGTACAAAGTTGTTGTATACAATGGTTTCACATTATTAAACATAATTATTAATTATTATTTTTAGTTAATGTAATTTGGTCACACTTTTGACTGATGGTTCAGACATAGGTATTTTTTGCCCTTCTTGCACGTTATCCACGATTTTTTGTATTGTTTGCGTGTACAAAAAGCGCATCTCCCGGAAGAAGTTTGCCTTTGGTCTACATTAGGTACATCAGGCTCGATATGCAATTTTTTTTCTATAACAGCTCGGAGTTCTTTTGACAAAGTTTGGATTCCGAGCCGTTCTCTCATCAAGGGACTAACTAGGTCATTACTAAGTTTTTTTTATGTAATCATCATCAGAATATTCATTATTTTCCTGTATATAATCATCGTCGAAATCTTCGTCAGGCTCCGATCTATAATTGTTTATTATTACGTCATCCTCAGAACTATCATTTTGATCGTCGGGCTCAAAGTTTGAGAGATTCTCGATTATTTACTCTAGTTCTTTTTGAGTTAATGGTCTGCGAGTCTTATTATCCATGTTTACATGGACACATGTTTTACATGATTTCTGTTACAGCTGAACCCCAAAATCAACGCACGTGCTAAACAACAGCACTTAATGATTCAGCGACTGCAAGATAACAGCTGACCTGCTAAAATAAGAAATTACACGAGCGAGCGTTACCTGGTTGCCAAAAGTAAAAAAATTATATTACTTTTAAAACAGCCTGGGGTACACCTGTACCCCGGGTAGTAATGTAGGGTTAAAATAACAGCGAACAAGATTATTCGTGAGAGATAGAATAAGGAACGAAGAGACCAGAAATTATGAGAAATAAATGACACAGATAGGAAGGAGAGAGAGAGACGACAAGGATGTCGTTTCCCGTAAGACCATATAAAAATGGAGAGGACTAGTACGAAAACGAGTGGTTAACTACTTTTTAATAAAAAATAAAGTATATACTAGGAAAATCGTTTCAGAACTATAACACGAGTGGTAATGGAAAAAAAGACTCTTTATCAAACTGAACAGGAAACAAATACAAGAGTTAAATAATCTATTATGTACATATAAAAATATTAAATCTTTAAAAAATCTGTACGTTGGGACACATACCTAAAATATAACGCAAGTTTCCTCTCCAAAACTAAGTTAACGACTTTCGAGCGATTCAATTGTTTTGCAATAAGATGATATCGCTCTACATGGACTGATCTAGGAAGAGAAGATTCTGATTCTTCGCTAATGACTGATTCTTCTACCTCTTCTTCTTTTTCTTCTTCTTCTTCCTCCCACATCTCCATTCCTAGCGAGGGTATCTAATAGACCGATATTAGTAATTATACAAGATAAATCAAAATTACGCAAACTAAGCCCATTCACAAAACAAATATTAAATATTAGTTTGTCATAAATACACTGGTTAAAAACATCCGTGATTCTTAAAAAAATATCTGTAAAATGGAAAACTCTAGAAAATATAAAAGAATATCAGAAAGAAAATAATAAGGACTATAGTTGTCATACTTATGACACTACATCTCATTAAAATCGAGGCGTTTGAGATGTGGTAGTATCGAAGGCTACTAAAAAATTCCATGGACTAGCAGAACCAGAAACGACGAAATTCTTCGAAGAATGGGACATCAACGAACTCTATTAAATATTATAAAGAGGCGTAAACTATAATATCTTGGACATATAATCAGAAGACCAAGATATGAGTTCCTTCGACTAATTCTCAACGGTAAAATCGAAGGAAAGAAATGGATAGGACGGAAGAAACTGTCTTGGTTGAGGAATTTGCGGCAGTGGACAGGTTTGACAGCGGACCAATTGCTAGACGTAGCGCAAGACCGAGATCAGTATAACAATATTATAAGCATGGTAGTCGCCGACGTTTCGTAGGGATATGGCACTCTAAGAAGAAGAGTTGTCATACAGAACCACACAGAAATACAGAGAGCAATAAATACGGAAGAGAAAAAAGAAAGTTATAAAACACAAAAACACGATTGTGATTAAAATGCAATAGACGAAAATAAAAGTTTAAAGGTTCTATACAAAAAACGCAAAGTGGGAGGAAATACGTGCAAAAAATAAAAAATTTAAGCAGGAAATATTGTCACAAACCGAAAAGAGATCTTACACGAAATCGAGCTATTCGTCAGAAGATATCCCAGATAAAGCAAAAGATGAGATTATGTAAAATATCACCCGAAAGAGATGAAAAATAACCAGGCACCGGGTGTGAATGGCATTGTAATTGTAAAAGAAAAAGGTAAAGGACTTATAGAATCCTTAAAAATCCATATCCTATAAAAATAATATCTAAAATAACTATCAAAAATGTTACCTTCATTTCATAAGTTAATGCTTCCTTAAATCTATGCTCATCTAGAGAATCTTCATATCTCCTATCAAAATCATATTTTAATGTATAAGATACAATAGATTGACGAGGTCGTTTTTGTTCTAAAATCAAATAAATTTAATACGACTCATGAAATTAAAAAAAAATGTATAGAAAAACTAGTTTGAAGATATACACAAATTGCATAAGACTTGTAACTAGATGAGTCAGAAACATAGATGAAGGAAAATTGTAAGTGGAAGATACTACTAACCTATTTGATAGATAAATTTTGTAATCTCTTGTACTGAGGAAAGTCTGTCAATGCCATAAAATACCCTAACATGATCAAATAATTAACTGCTGCAGAATTGAAGTATGTTCAAAGTATCCCTCAATTTTTCCCAATTATTTCCTTCCAATTTTTTTTGCTACGCGTTCGGATAACCAACCCACGAGAGGCGTGTATGTGTCCGATTTCTAATTACCGTAGCACGACCATTTCATTTTGTCCATAATATTTTCGCAGAAAAGACTTAATCGCTTGTTTGCGTATGTAGTTGCTAACCCTTAACTTCCAAGAACCGATGCAATTAAGTCTCGCTCCGTTTTCTAAAGCTATTCATATGGCCACGGCTGTGTTTTCTCTAAAAGCAGATCGATTTAACCCTTAACTTGACAGTGTGTACTCCAGGATACGTTATTTATTAAAATGTACTTCTTCTACATAAACGTAAGTTTAACGCTAGCTTTTAAACGTATCATCTCCATGATATAGCATTCGGCTAAACAATAAATTAACTTGAATGTCATAAACAGAGATTTGTACCAATTAGAGAGTGTTTTATGTAGACGTGCTCAAAATATCTTCTAAAGAAGGTGCTAGTTTGTGTCATTCGATAAGTAAATTAATTTTTTATATGTTATTAGTTATTGTATGGATTGGTAAACTATCTCCTTCAAGTGCCCTCTAGGCTACGGAATTTAGCAATCATCATTGCTATTCGTATCTTTGAAGCTGTTGCTTTAAATAATTGGTTAGATGTGCACTGGAACCAATCTCTTAAATTGCGCAGCCAAGATATACGTCGTCTCCCACGCTTCGTTTGCCCTGAATCTTTCCTTGGATAATTAACTGGAGAAATCGGTGCTTTTTCCCTCTCATCTCACGACCAAGATATTCCAACTTTCTTCTCTTGATGGTGATCAACAGCTCCCGTTCTTTGTTCATTCTTCGAAGAACTACACTATTTGTTATTTTGTCTGTCCAAGGTATTTTCAAAAATCTTCTATATATCCACATTTCGAAGGCCTCTAGTTTATCGATATTGCTCTTGTTTAAAGTCCAAGTCCCTACTCCGTACAGCAGTATCGAAAAGATGTAGCATCTAACCAATCTCATTTTCAGGTTTAGGTTAATGTCATGACTTCCCAGAATGTCCTTCATATTAACAAAAGCAGCTCGAGCCTTTCCAATTCTAGTTTTTATTTCTTCTGTGATGTCATTTTTGTTATTAACACTTCTTCCCAAGTAATTATATTTGTGTACCCGTTCGATTTCGTTATTGTGAATGTACAGGTTTGCATTCAATCTTTGTTTTTTTGAAATAATCATGAATTTTGTCTTCTTGACATTCATTGTTAACCCTTTGTCTTCACTAGCTGTGACTATCTTGTTTAAAATGGCTTGCATGTCTTCTACTATCTCCGCCATTAAAACCATATCACCTGCGTATCTAATATTATTAATTGGTTGACCGTTAACTTTTATCCCAATCTGTTCTTCCTCCAATGCTTTCTTCATAATTTCTTCCGAATAGAGATTAAATAGCATTGGTGAGAGCAAACATCCTTGTCTAACTCCTTTTTAAATTTGAATTTAATTTGTTGTGCTATTTTCGATGCGTGCAACTGCTTTCTGATTATAATACAGAGTAGATATTATTCTTATATCCCGAGTGTCTAACTGTTTAGCTTTCAAGATCTCTAAAAGTTCGTCATGCTTCACGTTATCAAACGCCTTGTTGTAATCAATGAAACAAGCAAATACATCTTGATCCAAACACCTCTGTGTCAAGATGTTAAAGGCAAATAATGCTTCGCGAGTTCCATATATCCCTCCCGGAATCCAAACTGAGTTCCTCAGATATCTTCTTCCAATTTTCTGGTGCCTTCTTGGGAAGAGGGAAAAAGGTTGATCTTAGCCATTTTTCAGGAATTATACTGTTTTCATAAATCTTGTTAAATAAGTTTACTAACAAATGGATTCGATCTTCGTCTATCAACTTAAGTATATCCGCTGGTAGCTCGTCTAGTTCTTGAGCTTTGCTATTTTTTGATGACTTCACCGCTTGCATTACTTCTTCTTTGCTTATTTCTGGACCTGTCTCCTCTGGAAAATTATCACAGGGAGGCTGGCTTTGATCGTCAAACAGTTCTTCTATGTATGTCTGACAATGTTTTAGTTTCTCCTCTGTTTCCATTATCATGTCCCTTGTTGATCTATAAGTACTGTCTGCTTCCTGTTTCTATTGTTGATCATTTCTTTAACTTTCTTGTGAAGATAGAACGAATCATATTTGCCTTCCAAGTTTTCAATCTCCTTACATTTGTCTTGTAACCATTGTTTTTTAGCATCGCGGATTTTCTTTTGATCTCTGTGTTAATTTGCTTATACTGTTCTTCACTTTTACCTTTCGATAGTCTTCGAGAATTCATCAATAACAAAATTTCGTCACTCATCCATTCTTTCTGTTACTTTGGTTTTTTTCTCTTCAGAATATTTTTAGCGGGCTCCAGCACGTTCTTTTTAATAATGGCTCAGTGTTTATTAATGTCTAGTTCTGGTATCTTGGACAAACAACTATGAGTTGTACAAAATGTAGATCGAGATTATGTTTAGTGCAATCCCGTACCTAATTGTTTTTATGATTTTCATAACTAATTTTTTTTTAAATTTTTTAACAGCTTAATAATTATTACTTTTTACTTTTATAGAAGCACCGTAGGGCGTCTTTAATTACTGTAATTAGTTAATCCATCGTGCACCGTTCAAGGCGCCTATCTGCAGTACCGAGACATATCTACCTATAGCTGCCACGTGCCTTCCATATTCTATAAGTACCCCTACCTGCTATCTCGATCAACACTCAGTCAATTTTTTCATGATCAAAACACTATCGTTTATAAGGTTATAAAAATAATTACCGATTGCGAGAGGGGTCAGGCAACGATGCGTCTTGTCTCCGACGCTTTTCAACGTGTACTCACAGATCATATTTAGAAAAGCCTTATGGGAAAGAAAAGAGGGAATAAGAATTGGTGGAAAAATCGTAAACACCATGAGATTTGAAGATGACACGGAAATTATGGCTGAGAGTATAGAAGAATTACAAACTCTACTAGATGCAATATATAGTAAATGCATTTAAATGGGACTTGCCATCAACACAGATAAGAACAAATTTATGATAGTATCAAGGAGTCCAATAAATAATGAACAACTAACCCTTGGTGGATAGCAAATAGAGAGAGTAAAAAATTGCAGCGTTCTTAAAATTCAAGCAATTGTTCTGTAACAAAAATCTGAATACTGCGCTGACACACTGAGGTTTGTTGAATGTTAAGTTTGGTCCCAACTATTGTACGGGGTAGAAACATGGACGTTAAAAGTGCAAATAGTTAAGAAGCTTGAAGCCTCCGAACTTTGGATATACCGGAAAATGTTGAGAATTCCATGGACAGCCAGGGTCACCAATGAGGAAGTCACTTGGGCCGAGGCAAAAAATTGTTGAGAACAATAAAAGTACGCAAGACGGCATACCTTGGACATATACTGAGGAATGATAAATATAGCCTTCTGCAGGGCATCATGCAGGGTAGAGTCGATGGCAAAAAAGGAATAGGTAGAAAGAGGAAGTCATGGCTGCGAAATATTCGAGACTGGACAAACATGACTGTAGATGAATTATTCCACGTTGCAAAAGACAGAGAAACTTTTCAAAATATGGTCGCCAACCTCCGTTAATGGGGTCGGCATAGGAAGAAGAAGAATATTCAGAGTGATAGTTCCCTAAGATATCCATAAATATATAATATATATTTGTAGATAACATTTACTGCACACTACGCGCCAAAATGTATGCATAATTTTAAGAATCCTACTAAATCAAATGTTACCTCCTACCTTACTTAACTATCCTAAACAGTCACACAATCCTTCTGAAATAAAACAACTATTCTGGTCTACCATTTCCAGATACCCTGATTTCAAACTAATTTTTCCTGATGCCTCTAAAAGCAGTAATGGTGTAGCTGCTGCAGCTATTTTTGAAGACAACACCTCTGTCACCCGTCTAGCCAAGGAGTGTAGCATATACACTGGAGAACTGCAAGCAATCTTCAACGCACTGAACCAATGTAGCAGCAATGATATTTTCTTATTATATCAGATTCTCTGAGTGGCTTAAATGGTGTCGAGCAGTTAACCTAAACTACTCATGCCAATTTAGCACTAATAAAAGACATGCTATACAATACCCAAACACGTGGTAAAAACATAACATTTTTATGGGTACTATCCCATGTTGGGATAAAGGGTAATGAAGCAGCTGATAAAGCAGCAACAGAAACTATCAATAACATGACAATCCCTATTATGCAAAACATACCAATTTCAGACCAAAAACATTAATAAAAACTTACATTAACAAAACCTGGCAAGTAAAATGGAGCCAAACAGAAGCAAAATTAAAAATCATCAAACTAGATGTTACTTCTGCTTTACTACCGCTCCCAGCTCAAAGACATGACCAAGTAGTTATTAACAGACTACGGCTAGGTCATACAAAATTTACACATGGATACCTGTCAAATACCATTTTCAGTGCAACATATAATGATACACTGTCCAGTGTACTTAACGGCAAGATCGACAGCAAAAATAAAACACAATTTGAAATAAACTCTAAAAGAAGACATCAGTAATACAATCAATTTTATCAAAAATTGTAAACTGTATAACAAACTGTAACATAACATAAAATGTTTGTATTTTTTCAAAACTGTTATGTAAATTTTAATAATATACTAAGTGTAACTTTTCTAAAATAAAGATATACCACCCCGCTAATAACCCTAAAGCCGGCCACTCACGATACAGCGGCGTTGTTCAACTTCGTCGAGTTCGACAAATTGACAAAGATTTTGATGGTGTGTGACCGTGCATCCAACGAAATCGTACAATTTGACCGCAGACAGACTGGCCTGTCTGCTGCAGTACTGCAGAGTTGATCTCGTCAATTTGTTGAGCGTGTGTGGCCGTTTACAATTTGTTGATACTGCAAAAATACAATTTTAACTACACACTTGCTTTGATCATATAGAAAATCGACATAGCTTGATTTAGTGAGAATTTTTAGTGAGAAGAGTTTTTTGAATTATATAAAGAACAAGAATGTTTATGGCGAATTAAAGGTAAAACGTATCACGATAGAAACGCCCTAAAACGTGCAATGGACATTCTAATTTTAAAGTTACAAAAAGTAAACAAAGATGCGAATGAAGAATATGTAACAAAAAAAATAACAATTTTAGAACATGCTGTAAAAGAGAATTAAAATTAGTATTGCAGTCAAGTAAATCAGCTGCAGAAACAGACGAGATTTATTTTGGACCAAAATCTTGCATTCTTTGCACCAAAATCTGCTTTTCATTTTAGGTTTCTTTTTACGATTAGTTATACACAAAGCAAGAGACGCTAAAATGATTGTTTGATTTGACACGGTCGAGAACCAAACAAATACTGCGGCGCAGTGCGGTGTGTGGGTGCACCAGATATGCCAACAAATTGAACAACGCCGTTGTCCGATTTTGTCGAACGACACCGCTGGACCGTGAGTGGCCGGCTTTAGAGTTGATGCGGTAAAAAAAATGTTTTATCATTTTTTGCAAGCAACTTAAAAACATGCTTGTTGTGCTTTTAAAAAGATGTGTTTTAATTCGGGTTGTATTGTTGCGGTCAGGTATATTCTTCTTCTTCTACGGCACTACAGCCCAAAATGAGCCTTGGCCTCCTTTATTTTTTGCCTCCACCCTTGTCTGTCTGTGGCTGCTCTTCTCCATACACGGACTCCTAAAAGTGCTTCTGCGTCGCTGCTTACTGTGTCTTCCCAGCGCTTTCTTGGCTTTCCAACTGGTCTCTTTCCCTGCATTCTGGCGTTCAGTGCTCGTTTTGGTAGCCTATCCTCTCCCATTCGTATCACATGTCCGGCCCATTGCAATCTTTGTATTCTAATGAAGTCTGACAGGGGTGTTTCCTTATACAGTTGATAGAGCTCGTTGTTATATCGAATTCTGAAGATTCCGTTTTCCCTCACAGGTCCTAGTATTCTCCTCAGTACTTTTCTTTCGAATGTGTCGAGTTTGTTTTTGGATGTTTCTTTCAGGACCCATGCTTCGCTGCCATAACATGCTATTGGCCGAATTAAAGTTTTATAGATTCTCATCTTTGTATTTCGGTGGACACTTTTAGACCGAAATATATGGGAGAGGGCAAAATAAGCTTTGTTTGCCTGCGTTATCCTTTTTCGTATTTCTCCATCCTCTGCTCCATCGGCATATATTTCTACTCCCAGGTATGTAAAATTTCCAACCGTTTCAATGTCATCTTCATGTATAATGTTTTGTAGGATTATATTTCTTCTCGTCTGTACCATTATTTTTGCTTTTTCTGTGTTAATTTCCAGACCTAGCCTTTTCGTTTGTGTTTTTAACTCTGCGTATGCTTCCTGTGCTCCTGTTGATGTTCTACTCATAATATTAATATCATCGGCGTAGGCAGCCAGTTGAACCGTTTTATTGGTCAGTAGGTTTTCTCGTCCAGTTTGTATTTGCCTAACCGCATACTCCAGTGCCAGGTTAAACAATGTTGGTTGTATATTGTTTTTATAAATTATCACTAATTGTTCTTTTACTGTAAAGTTTCCCACACAGCACTTTACCCATTTACCGCTTTAACCGCTCGTTTACCTTAGGTTTTTGATTATTTCTCGAACATATTTATTATATTCTCGATTATATTCGTACACTCAATCAGCCGTCAAAAACGCACTTTGTGGTAATATCAAGTCGATACAGCGTAAGATTGCAAGTTAAATATAAAAGCCGTTTACAGGTCTAGGTCACCAATGAATAGATTGGTGCTGCCAAAGAATTAAACAATGTTTATAAAAGATTTGCCATAGAACTGAACATCTCAATGGTAAGAAAGTTGAAAAGATGCAATTTAAAAAGTTTCACGAACAAGAAAAAAGAGGAAGAAAACAAATTAAATCGAATACTGTAGGAATGATAATGCAAATATTGTTACCCTCATATCTGTACTCCTCCTCAGTCAAACTCTCTTCCGCACTTTGATCTGCGTCTTTATCGTCATCTAAATTGTCAAACAATCCAGAAATATCATCATCTCTGTCTACCGACAGCAAAACTCTTCTGGGGAAATCGTAAGCAGGAGCTTCCATAAACGAAAAAGATATGGATTTGAGTGGATCAAATCCATCCGGAGGTTCACTAGTTTTGGCATCTCCAGATATTTCTTTGCTATCTAGCGATTTTTCATCCACATGAGTTTCGTCTAAGGAATAATTTTTATTATAAACGTGATTATAAACTGTGAGGTAGCTGTACAGTGCAAGTCATTGAATTTAATATACTAAAAAAATTGTCATATTAAGATAAGAATCTCTTACTGAATTTAAACCAGTGTTAAAAATATAATAAAGAAATATGCGTACTTTTAATTCGGCCTTCTAACTCTACTACTCTTTGCAGTTTCTCATCGTCTAAAACTGGGTGTTTCGTACCAGTGGCTTCCAGATAGATTTTTTGAGATTCTTCGGTCATGATTTTTTAAAAACAAACATTAAAAATATAAAAAAAAATAAAAAAAAGTTTAATGAATTTGATAAAATATCATAATAGTGACAACATAATATGTCACTGACAATTATGTCAGAATTAATAATGTCATTTCATATTTTAAAACTCTTCTTTTACCAACTTTCTCATGGGCCTTCACCTTATTGATTTCTATTTTCTTCTAGCATATTTTAAAGCTGTGAAGAATAATAAACATGTAAATACTCTTTCCTTCGTAAGAAGCTTGTTTTTCCTAGTTTTTCTGTATGCTGCAGTGCTAGACTTTCAAGCAGAACTACATGTCTATAAGACTAAAAGATGAACACCAACAAAAGAAATCCCAAGAATGTAAGTAACTTTCTTTCTTTCTCCCCTTTCTTTTACCCAATCAGGGTGTCGGATTATGTAAGTAACAGAACAAATAGTATGTTACTTCGGGCAGGGTTTTCGATAGATTGACGACAAAATTCGATGGATACCAGTCGAAAGAACAAGCTTGTTTGAGAAAGGGATTCAGCACACGTGACCATTTACTAAGTATGAAAATACTTATAGAACGAGCACATGAATACCACATTCCTCTATATATGGCGTTCATAGATTTCGAAAAGGCTTTCGACAGAGTCGAACATTGGGCAGTGAAAAGTTCTTACCACAGATATACGGAACTAATAGCCAATATATATATAAGGAAGCCAAAACAACAATTAAAGTATATGAAGGAACAAAATCAATACAAATAAATTGAGGCGTGAGACACGGTGATACAATATCACCGAAACTTTTCAATCAGGCTCTTGAAGATAATTTTAAAAGATTAGAATGGGAAGAAAAAGGTATAAAAATTTGTGGACAACGCTTGAACCATCTAAGGTACGCTGATGATATCATATTGATAACTGATAAAAAAGAAGAATTATTTGAAATGATGAAACAACTGGACGTAGAAGCTGGATATGAATTACAGCAAGACCAAAACCATAACAAATACAGATGAAGACGTCACAATGAGAATCGGACAAGATGAAATAGAACAAGGATTATATATATAGGATTAAACTGGGAATAAGTTTATTATTTCTCAGTAATAAATCTGTAAAAAAGACAGAGGTTTTAGAACTTAGGGTACTATTGGCTCTTTTATATGTAATTGGGATAACCAAAATAACCACAGAAATGCAGCAGATCTCTTTAGGACAAACAGCTCATTGCCAGAGATTTTTAGATTGACAATGTCCGTTGCACGGTTCAAGTTTTTGCTCAGACACATCCGTTTTGAGGATAAACGAACAAGATTAGAAACAAAAATATGAGAAATTGACAGCTGTGAGAGACTTCTTCGATTCGTTTAATTCAAATTTACCTTAACAGCCACCAGGCCCATATCAAGTTGATACAAGCAATATTTCCCTCGTTCCTCGCCTCTGCAGTCCTATATCTGGTTCTCACAGAATCATCTGACTATGATAGGCTCTATGAGAAAAAACAAAAGAGAGCTTCCGCTTCTATTTACTGATCCTAAGAGACCAGAAAAAACAAATATGTTTTCTTTTAGAGAAAAATGTACGATTGTATCGTATATACCCAGACGATACGACGATTTCCTAAACGAATTAACATGCAAGCCAGAAATCATCATTGACTATATATAATATGTAAATCCAAAGGAGGAGTAGATCTAGTTGATAAAATGTGTGCCACCTACAATTGATCCCGAGCCACTCGCCGATGGCCTATGAGCATTTACTCTGCAATGAATGTAGCCGGTATCAATTCATTTATAATAAACAAATATAAATCTGATGAGATACATAAAATGCCTAGAAGACATACCAAGAGCTTCTAGACATATCCTCGAGGTCGTTGTTTTACTTTAGTGGACAAAAAAAATAGGCCAACCAGATATACCAGTCGAAAATTTGTATGCTTAAAACAAGCAAAATGCATTTGCTCCGACCACCTACAGGATGATATTTCCGAAGACAGCAGGGAAGATTCATGTATCTACTTTACGCATTTCAAACATTTGTTTTTTATTTAGTCTTTGTTTAATTTCCTATAAATAGTTGTTTTGTATTTGTTTAATTTTACCTAAAAGGTTAATAAATAATTATACTGTTTTGCATTTTTTATTTTTGTTGATTTCTTAAATTTATTCGTAGCTATTTAACTATTTGAAGTACCTGTTTTTATCCGATATTTCCGGTACAAATTAATTTTTGCAGCTAATCGTCATCATGTAATGGGATAGGTTGCATGTATAATACACTCCTACGATAATTTTTTTATAGTATTGCGTGTTGATGGGATTGGACTGTTACGTATTCGTTAATGATTTATTATTTAGACAGCTATTTCCGCCAGTAATCAGTGTGTCATGTATAGAACGACGAAAGAATGAATAATTGTTATATATATGAGTGAGGTATAATAACCATCATTAATAGATAGCGATATATAGATTATTTAAATATTGAACACCAAAGTATTGCACAAATAAATGGACTGACTAGACATTAATAAAACAATTTAAATTGGTAAACAGCAAGCTTATCGGTCTAGTTAATCGAAGTTATGTTTTAATCGTCAACACGTATAACCTTAGTAAAATAGTCCTGATTACAGCAGAGAAAATTAGCAGGAAAGTTTGAAGTATAAATGCTAAATAATATAGGAACCAATATAGAGCCCTGTGGTACAACTTTGTTTTAAGTGGACCAGTAAACATTTCTTCTCAAAGTGGATCAAAATATTTTGTTTTATTTAAAGATGATTGTAGCGGTTACTTCAGTGTTTATTTTCTAAAGCAAAAGTGAGATGTTTTCAACAAGTTTAAAGATTTTAAAATACGGATTGAAAATCAAACTGGCAATAAAATTAAGATTTTAAGAAGTGACCAAGGTAAAGGAGAATACATCAATAATGACTTTCAGGACTTTTCAGGAAGAACCGTATATTACATGAATGTTCAGCTCCTTATACACCTCAACAAAATGGCCGCAGTGAGAGGCAGTTACGGACAATTGTTGAAACTGTAAAAACTGCTGTATATGTTCTTAATCGAACAGTTTCAATTCAAGTACAAAACATGATTCCATATGAAAAGCGGTTTGGGAGAAAACCAGATCTAAAGCACATCAGAGTTTTTGGCAATACAGCTTACATGTTGATACCATCACAGTTTCGTAAGAAGTTTGATTCAAAATCAAGAAAATTATTGTTCGTTGGATATGATGGATATTCATCAAACTATAGACTTTGGGATTGTGAGAAAAGAAGAATTGAAGTGAGCTGCAATGTAAATTTTAATGAAGATGAAAAATAAGAAGGAAATCTTTAGATTTCTCATTATTATCCAAGAGAAATCTTTCTCTTGGATAATAATGAAGAAAGGGACAATAATGATATGTACGATATTCAAGAAAGTGACAATGAAGAGAGTTTAGACAGGTCACAAGGTAGTAGGTCTCAAGCAACAGATCATGATAATGAGGATTTTGATTTTAATCTGTTCTATAATGCCAATGATGATATTGTTTATGATACACAGCTACGCAACAGAAATATGATGTCTACGCCTGACTATTATGGTGTAGCAAACTATTGTGACATTGTTGAACCCATAAGTTATGAAAGTGCAATAAAGTGTGAGGACTCTAGCAAGTGGCAACAAGCAATGCAGGATGAAATAGATGCCCTCAAGTTTAATAACACATGGGACTTGGTGAAATTGCCCAATGGTGAAAAAGTGATAGACAATAAGTAGGTTTATCGTGTTAAGACTGACTCAGACGGTAACCCTGTTCGTTATAAAGCACGTCTCGGCCATCTTACTTCACTCATCCCCAAGATGGCTATTTTCAGTCTTACCATCTTGGTTTCAGTGTTTGCCCGTTTCCCGGACATAAATTAGCTGCGTACGTTCCAGGTGGCAATGCGTACTATTCGGTCGTATATTTATATTCTCTGTACATTTTTTGGGTAGTTGACGGGGGATTCCTCGCACCCTCTCCCCATTTAAGGGGTGCCTCGGACTGAGGGCCATTTTCTTTTTTTCGTCTGCCATTTAGATTTGTGGAAAATATAATGGGATGGTTTTCCCGTTGCCTTCCCCATCACAGTACCACAACCATTTAAACTGCTCCAGTCCTGCTTGTGGTAATTCAGTTTCAAGCCGGTCCAGGATTATTTCCTCTACGCCTTGAACTGATACTGATGATCGCTGCTGCCCTTCACCAGGGAGGGATAGGAAGTAGGAAACTAGATTTTGGAAGGATAAAGGAATGGGACATGATTTCTCTCAGTAAGGAATTGAGAGCAAAGCATGGCTCGCGTGGGTAGGGATGCTTCCTTGAAGTAGACCTATTGTCCTCCAGGATCGTAGAAAAGTGTCTACCCGCTACCACCCGACAATCACTCGGTGAAATTTTAGCCATATCTGGCTACCCACACTTCGTTTAGCCTGCAGACCAATGCAGTTGCCCTTGTATGGTAGTGTTATGTTATCTAATTTGATATGTTGACTTATCGGTGTGTTGTTCCCGGTAAAAATATTAATGCTGAATTTATCAGGAGCAAGATTTAAACCTATGTTCTGCATGGCCCTAACCAACGGAGTAAATAAATTATTTAGTTTTTGTAAACATCATCAGTATTTTTTCTCCTGGGAGTATTAGCAAAGTCGTCTGCGTATTGGATTAGTTCTATTTCTCTCGTAACTGAATATAAAAAAGCAGTAATTAAATTGAATAATAGCGGGCATAACGTTCAACGTACAAATGACAGAGGTAGTTTTTGTTTTCACAGTAATAAAAACTTCTGGAATGAATCTCGTATATTCGAAGGTTATAATAAACATATGTAAATTTGTCCTCAAAGAAATAAATTATCGTAAATCTACATTTCAATTGAAATACCCATTCCCATTACCATATTATAGTAACTCTTTATAACACAAAAAATCGCCAATGCTGGTAATTCGTTCTTTTAATCGAAGTTAATGTGATCACTGATAATAAATTACACAAGATTCTATTTTTAGACGTTACTGTCAATACCTTTAACCCAAAAATGGTAATGCGATCGACAACAAAACCGATCGACGGACGGTTTCACTTTTATTTACAT